GGGGATAATAAGAGGAAACTGATATTTATACAATGTGTTTACTATGTGCCAAGTCTTTCCCTAAAGATCACCTGACATAACATTTGCTGCATAATCTCAAAACAACCTAAAGTGGCATAATAATTATCCCCATTTTATTCAAGAAAGGGCAGTTATATGTCTGAGTTGAAGCTCAAAGAGTATGTGAGGAAGGCTGGATATGAACCCAGGATTATTTCACTCCATTACCCATATTCTTTGCCTTTCACTATTCTACTTTCCATAAACCTTATTTAAAGTTGCTGTTTAAGTTGACCTGAATTTTTTTAATGATCTTTCAAAGCCTAAATCTAGACTTACATAACAGATGGTACTCTAGTCTGTAAAACTTCCTCTCTTAGGGCAAAAAAAAGCATCACTTTTTGGATCTAGAGAAAACTAACCAGCCTGAGCAGCTTCGGGGGTTACATGTGGCAATTCACGGTGAGTCAAAGCATCCTGTACAACTATGAAATTACACAGGAATCTGTCTCCTAACAGAAATAAAAAGGGCAACAGCTACAGTTAAACTTTTTACTGAACTAAATTAACATGCTTACCAAGCTCTTATTAGGATCTCTTAACACAAAAGAATATTTTAAAATGGTGTTCATTTTTTTAAAACTACCAAAATATATCATTTTGATAGATTAACATTCTCTGAATAAATGTACTACACTGTTGCATTTCATGCTTAAGACTGAACTACTTATGATGTCTTGGCTCTTAGCCTAGAGTATCTTTTCCCCTTCTACCTGGAACACTTCCTCCCAAACCATTTCTCATTCTGCAGTTTTGAGTTAGGTGATTCCTAAACACAATACCCTTTATTTCTTCCATCATTAACACTAACCCTATTATAGAACAACTGCTTTATTTTTCTGTATCCTCTAAGAGGAAAAGCTCTACAGAGGAAAAGAACTGTGTGCAATATGGTAGTGTCCCCAACTGATCAACATAGTACCTGGCCCTCAATAAATGTCTGCTAAGTAAATGAAGGAGAACAGAAGTCCTAACACAGGAAAAAACTTCAACATGCTGATTTATAGCAACTGTTGATTGCTAGCAATGTCCAAATAGCAATTCTCTGGTTCCAAATGAATTACTAATAATTTTAATAGTGTGTGATTCAAAACCAGAGATCGGAGCCCTAGCCAAGATAATCTACATTCACTAATAAATCTTCAAAGTGTTATTAGTAAGCTCAGAATAACCAAAAGTTTGTTTTGTTTGTATATAATTTACTCAACAATGAACACAGCTGCACTAATCCATATTTTTACTCACATTTTACTTGTTCAATAACTAATCCTCTTTACTGAATTATGTTCTTAATGAATCCAATTCTGATTATGCATTAAATTGTGGCAATCAAATAATCTTATTATTTTTAGTAAACTCAGTTTGTTCCAAATGTATTAGAACTTTAACTATAACTCTTATCAGAGAAATATGGTCATGCTATTCAAGGATTAGTTGTTTTTAAATTCCAAAGAAACAATTCAGTAGTATTCAAACAAAATAAAACAAAAGTAGTCCATTAAAACATAGTATTGAAGTAATCTGATTCCTGTTGACCAACAAAGTAAAAATGGTATAATTGCATTTCTGTTTATGGGAGCATTTAAAAACATATTCTTCACAGAAGAGTTTGTATCCGACAGCTCTTTTTTAAATCAAAAGTTGAAAACAAATTTTAACTTTACTCTTTGGTTATTAATTATACCTAATAAATGAGTCACTGATATCAATTCACAATAAATTTATTTTACATAAAAGAAAAGCTTGCTGTTAATGAAAAATTCAGTAGAAAACAGTTCTGCTTTAAGTTGGGGCTCAAGTATAGAAGCTGTTAGTGAAATCTCAGTAGAAAGAGAATTTTGAAAGAAAACATTCTTGGCATGAAAGCTCTAACATAAATTCTGTAATGAAATATTTACCATGCAACTTTATTGGCAGAAAAGCCAGTTTCTGATGACTGGTAAATTTTTCTTTCAGTCTCTTAAGACATTAAAATGGAAGATACTTAAAACTGCTCTACTTGGAGTTAATTATATATAAATAGGGTGTCATGATGGGTAATTTTTCCATAGGTGCACCTATTTAATTGAGCAGTTCTAAGTAGGTAATTGGCACTTTGCCCTTCTGATTTCCCCTTTCCCCCATTAGCCAGTCTGAATCCATTCCAACGACACTGAACACAGTGATCACCTACAAAATAAAATATTTCAAGTTATTAACTATATTAAAAATAAAACTATAACAAACCAGATTGGTATTTAATTTGTTTAAATTACTTCCTATAAGTGGACTTTAAACATTATCAATTTTGCTGAAAGATTAAGGATTTTATTGGAGGCATTTTTATATATCTTCAAGTTATTTGGCAGTTAAAAGTTTAAAATATTTTTGTGATATTCAATTATATTAAAATTTCATAAAATGTCAATATAACCACCTGAAAGTCATAAAATATCCATGATAAACTTTCTGAATAAGTAATGAGGAATTTGAATTTTGTTATTATATGTCAAGCTGTGATATAATTTTCTTCTCATACCCACATTACTTACCTCATCTGCCAGAAGTGATAATTCAGTACTGTTCGCAGCATCATAATCATAGAGAACTCTAGCCTTCCTGCTGCCACTTGACTCCTTAAGGTCATTGAGGTTGGACGGAGAGGTGATTACTATGCCACTTGTTGAAGCCACAGCAGGAGAACCAACTGCATTTGCTAAAGAAGATGGCACAGGTGTCCCAGAAGTCTGATTGTTGTTAGAAAGATAACTGGATGGAAAACTGTGGGAAAAGAAAATGTTCAATTAACTATTTCAAAGTGATTAAAGTTCCTGAATGCCACCACTTGGTGGCACTGTTTATCTTCTACCTCCAAAGGGACAATTTGCAGATGTTAATTATTTTATACTTTAATGATTCAAGTTACCTCTTGCCTCTTGGGCCAATTATACTAGAGACAATTCAGATGGTTTTCAAATATAAATCTTGAAAATTTGTTTCAAAGCTGTCTTTACTGACTTAAATATAATGGCTACTTACATCCCAGAAAAAAATGATTTAAGTTTTTTTTTTAAGGTTTCTTAAGTTAATGCTTTGAGAAATATTAGCATACTTAAACTCTTTTTATGTAAAATGGATCAATCACATTTTCCAATTCATTCCAGTAATATTTATTGAGTACTGCATTACTGTCATAAGCTGAAGACATAAAGATGAAAGGATACTATTTCCTTAAGGATATATAAATAAATGAAAGGATAAGACATTCAAATAATTCATTATGATGGATAATTATAATGAAATACAAAATCAATATATAGGGAAAAATTCTCAAGTTCATTTTATTCTATTTTTTAGAAAAAAAGTTTAAGTAGCAATCAGTGAAATCTTGTGATTAATATGCTTATGAACAATTTGAAGACAGATTTCTATTTTAAGGCTATTGCTTCACTAATAATACTAACTAGAAAACAGTACAAAATGACTTGTTTATAATCATTTAACTTCAAACATTTCTAAGGTAAGAAATTATCTATGAAAATTCATATTTAAGCCACCTCCTCCCCCACATGCTAGGGATGGAATCCAGGGCCTTGTGCATGCTAGGTAAGTACTATATCACTTAAGGAGCTACATTACCAGCCCCTTACTGAAGTTTAAAAAAAAAAAAAAAATTCTGTGATGCTGGGATCAAACCCAGGGCCTTATAAATGCCAGGCAAGTGCTCTACCACTGAGTTTTGCCCCCTAGATCTTTCAATATACATGTTCTTAGTTTGCCTAGAATATTCACCCTACCTTTCTTCATTTAGATGACTCCCACTAAAATAACTTCACTTGGAAATTTTGCTAGGCACAACTGAGTCACAGTTAAGATATCCTCACAACACCCTGCACTTCTTTTACTTTTTTTAATTTATCATATGTCCTATTCAGCTATTGTGTGTATTCCCACCTGGACTTTTAAGTATTATGATAGCAAGGACTATATTTGTCCTATATGTTATTTTGTACATTACAATCTAAATTCCATAAAGGCAAGTATTCTTGCCTGTTTTGTTTGATGCTGTAACCCTAGAATATAACAGTGCCTGGCACATGGCAGGTATTTCTGAAGAATGAACGACTGTGCTTTACATACTATTTTGCTTTACTCAGAATAATCGTAACAGAGAGCTTGAAGTCTTACAGAATATTAAAAAACTTTTTTTTAAATAGTGATTATACAAATTTGTTTATCTTGAAGAGTACCTGTCAATGAACCTATATCTCCCTCAATGAACAGCAAAAAGTATTCAGTATCAAGAAAAAAGTGAAACCTCAAATACTTCTAAAGCTTTCTTTATGTGGCACTAAAAAGGTATTCATTTAAATTATCTTCTCATCCCTATTAACCTCTGTGTCAGAAAAGCTCAAAATGTTTTGTTATCTCATTAGTCTGAACATTATTTTCCTTTAAAATAAAAAAAATTAAAAATCCAACTCTAGGGGTTGGGGTTGTGGCTCAGTGGTAGAGCACTTGCCTATCATGTGTGAGGCACTGGGTTCGATTCTCAGCACCACATACAAATAAGTCAATTAAAGGTCCGTTGACATATTAAAAAAATACAACTCTATGTAAACTAATAAAAGCCTTTTGATTCTTCTAATCTTCACCATTGCTGTTCTTGTATAAAAATCTGAATTTCTTCTCATATCAGGACTTAATATGCAAAGAGGAAATTACCACCTTCCCAGTTGTTTCTGGAGGTCTAACATGTACTGGTAACACTGTGCATAGTAAGTCATCTGGGCTTCTACAAAGTCATTCAGACAGCGGAGGTGATGGGCCTATGAAGGAAAGTTAAGAGTCAGTTTTAGGTTCTTAAAGTGGTAAATGCTAAAGATGGGACAAGGCACTGTGATATGCAAGAATCATTTTACTATGAGCCTTATTTTTAAAATCAACCTCAGTGGAGCTCGAGGCTGGGAAGTGCTGAGCCGCGCGTCATGCCCTGCGCTGCCCAGACTAGCGAACAATACAGTCAGGATGGCTAAAGGTGACCCCAAGAAACCAAAGGGCAAGATGTCTGCTTATGCCTTCTTTGTGCAGACTTGCAGAGAAGAACATAAGAAGAAAAATCCAGAAGTCCCTGTCAATTTTGCAGAATTTTCCAAGAAGTGCTCTGAGAGGTGGAAGACAATGTCTGGGAAAGTGAAATCTAAATTTGATGAAATGACAAAGGCAGATAAAGTACGCTATGATCGGGAAATGAAGGACTATGGACCAGCTAAGGGAGGCAAGAAGAAAAAGGACCCTAATGCCCCCAAAAGACCACCGTCTGGATTCTTCTTGTTTTGTTCAGAATTCCGCCCCAAGATCAAGTCCACAAATCCTGGTATCTCCACTGGAGATGTGGCAAAAAAGCTGGGTGAGATGTGGAATAACTTAAGTGACAGTGAAAAGCAGCCATACATCACTAAGGCTGCAAAGCTGAAGGAGAAATATGAGAAGGATGTTGCTGACTATAAGTCTAAAGGAAAGTTTGATGGCACAAAGGGTCCTGCTAAAGTTGCCCGGAAAAAAGTGGAAGAGGAAGACGAAGAAGAGGAGGAAGAGGAGGAGGAGGATGAATAAAAAACTGTTTATCCGTCTTCTTGTGAATACCTTAGAGTAGGGGAGCGCCATGATTGACACATCTTATTTGAGATGTGTCTGTTACTCTCATTAGGTTTAATTTCAGAATTTGATCACGATCATATTGTAGTCTCTCAAAATGCTCTAGCAATTGTCAGTGGTTTACATGAAGTGGCCCTGGGTGTCCAGAGCACCCTAAAACTGTATCAAAGTTGTACATATTTCCAAACATTTTTAAAATGAAAAGGCACTCTTGTGTTCTCCTCACTCTGTGCACTTTGCTGTTGGTGTGACAAGGCATTTGAAGATGTTTCTGGCATTTTTTATTAATTTGTAAGGTGGTGTTAACTATATGGTTATTGGCTAGAAATCCTCAGTTATCAACTGTACATATCTATAGTCTGTAAAAAGAACAAAACAACCGAGACAAACTCTTGATGCTCCTTGCTTGGCGTGGAGGCTGTGGGGGGAAGATGCCTTTTGGAGGGGCCGTAGCTCAGGGTGTGCACTGTGAGGCTGGACCTGTTGACACTGCGTTGGGCATCCATTTAGCTTCAGGTTGTCTTGTTTTTGTAGTAAGCAGCATTCTGCTGCCTTTCTTAGTTGTGGAAAAAGGGGGGTCAGCTGGCATGAGAAGTGTTTGAATTTTTTTTTAGTTAAGTACGGTAGATTTTAAACTTTGTTTTCAAACAAACTGTAGAACTCTTCATTGTCAGCAAAGAGCTACTGCATCAATGAAAGTTCAAGAACCTTCTGTACTTAAATGCAATTTGCGACGTTATGTTATTTTTTGTATGTTTAGAATGCTGAAATGTTTTTGAAGTTAAATAAACAGTATTACATTTTTAAAACTGTTCCTCCCTATAAATCTGGTAACTTCTACTTTACTCACATGGTCAGCTTAGGACTGAGATGAAGGAGGGGGCTACTTGAAGTTACTGCATGATTTGTTGTACCTGAATGGCATTAAGATGAAGTGTAGACCAGTGAATGTAGTGACAGGCAAGGGCCAGCATCCTTCAGTAGTGTTCAGGAAGGCAGGCAGGTGGGATGGGGGCCAGCTAATTCCAGATTTTACTTCTTACCTTCGGCTTCTACATCCCCTTTTGGTGTCAAATGCATTGCTAAACAGTAAGAATGTCTTCCAGAGTATATAGGGTGTAAAACTTCATACCTTATTTATTCTCACTCCTCTCTGACTCCTGCACATGTAATGGGATGCATAGTTATTTCTTGTGCTCAACATTTGAGGAGGCTTTAAACTGCTGCTTGTCTCCTAGACCCCAGTGAGGGGGGATGGGGTGGGGTAGGGGACATTATCCGTATTTTGGCCCTGTTTTCCTCATTCAAAAAATCAGACATTCCAAGAAAGTTTCTTAAGTTCCATCTTGGGTCACTTCAGCAGGCTGATAGGATCAACATTTCTAAGCAGTAAATGTATCATGAAATAGAGAGTGGCCTACCTGTGATTTGAGCTTATTCACCAGAAATGTAGATTGTTGTTCAATGTTCTTAAACTGAAAGAAGCTTGGTTTGTGTTTCAGTGGTTGTATTAGTAAATGGTGTTAACATTTTGCCCAGGTTAGGATGGGGGTGGTTGCTACAGTGGCAAATGGTGATACTAAATATCAGTGGATGGCTTATCTGTACTTCATTGAAGTAACAAATGATAATACTGTTGTGGATGAGTGTCAGCATTGCCTAGCATTAACACTAGGATATAGAAATTTTTTTCTTTTTTTTTGTGTGTGTGTATGGTATTTTACAAGAAAGCAGCTTTTTCTTAAAAGTTCACTCTTCGGAACCTTGCTTGTCTAAGGAGCTGTCTTCTCTACTGTGTCAGGTCCTAGATGAGTGCAAGTCATGGTAACAGCTGATCTTCATTCATAACCATTCCCTCTCCATCAGAACTGTTTGTCCTAAATATGTTTTTTTAATTCTTCCACTAATTTAAAAACCCTTGGTCATTAGGTTTGCCCAGAGGCACTTGTTCCAGGATTGTTCATCCTGCTTTAGCCATGCCCTTGTCACTTGGCATTCTAAACTGAAACTGCTACTACTGCACAATGCACAATGTACAAGCCAACCTCATCAGACATGGAAGAGATACTCAACCTGTAATCCAAGGAAATAGTTTTCTAACTATGGGAGGGGGTGGATTTTATGCTCCCTCAGTAGCCAGATAGAAGTGGGGTGTAGGTTTTAGCTAAATGATGTTTGATTAAGCAGACTTTTGGTTATAGAGAGACTCCAGTTGCTTGTTACAAGACCACTACTCTTAAGGTTTACACACTGCCACTAGATGCCCCAGTGGAATGTTCTCTAGCTTCTCTGAGATGCTTTAAGTGGCATGATATTACCACAAAAGGTTAGGCTTAGCTTGATTTCTAGACCAATCCTCTTGCAATGCCAACCTGTTATTAAGTCAAAAGGACAGTACTTTTTTCTCAAAACACTCTCTTCCAACCCCCTTACCCTGTTCTTGAATAATGTTTTATCTTTTGGAAAGAACAAGGCTGTAATGTAGCAACTATTGTCTGTGTCTCCCTTGTGTCTGTTCTTGTCACAAATGTACTTGGGGACATTGGATGCATTCATTTTCTGTAATAAAGTTTCTTAATCAGTCTTCCCAAAAAGTAAAATAAATAAATAAATAAATAAATAAATAAATAAACCTCAGTGAACAGTGTAGTCAATAATAAGCAAAAAAAAAAAAGAAAAAAAGATTTGATAAGGATGGGAGAAGTAGATGATGATGAGAGAATGAGAGTAAGCAAAAATTTTAAATATTTCTTTATATTATTTGAGAAAGCACCATAACTTAAATTTCTTTGATAAATGACTAAAAAGGGAGTTCTGTTTTTATTTTCCAAATTGCTTTAGGATCATTAATTCTTTGACTAATGAATTTCCAATGAATAAATACTCACATGTGTACTGCTGATTCCCTCTAGCAAAAGTCTGGTAATCTCTGCTTGACGATCAAATTCACTTTGAGTTATCCTTAATTCCTGTTCAGACTTAAATTAGAAGATAATTTTAGAATTTTGTATCCAGACTGTTTAAAAATTCCCCAGACCAACCCCAAATTGTAATCCAGCAATTCCCTGATTTTGCTTTGTATCTGAAAGGGTCCCTTGTTTCTATGCTTTAATTTTCCTATATTACTCAACCTTAATAGAACTGATTGCTTACCAGCACTTGACTCAAAAGAATCTATTAATGCCAAAGCTTAATGACATACTTGTAAAAGCCTAGAAAACTTACTATGGATAGTCAGAGGATATTTTCATATGTTTTCTAATATCAATTTTGCTAAATTTAATTTTTACAAAATCTTAAAAAGAGTGCCATAGTTTGGAAAGTAATGTTACTGTTAAATTCTCAATTAGTACTATTGTTTTTTCTTGGGGGTGGGGGGACTGGGGATTGAACTCAGGGACACTCAACCACTGAGCCACATCCCAAGCCCTATTTTGTATTTTATTTATAAACAGGGTCTCACTGAGTTGCTTAGCATCACACTTTTGCTGAGGTTGGCTTTGAACTTGCCATCTTCCTGTCTCAGCCCCCTGAGCTGCTGGGATTACAGGTGTGTGTCAACGAGCCAGCTGTTTTTTTTTTTTTTTTTTTTTTTTTTTCTTTGGTGTTAATGATAGTCTTAATATATTGAATGCAAAAGACTTTAGATTGAAGTCACAGGATTTCTCTCTCTTGAATTTGGTTACCAAATACTTGTTGCCAGGAACTGTTCTTACTTTTCTTCAAAGGAATCTTTGTCCTACATTTTAAATGTCTTTTAAATTTTCTTTCTAAACTATGCATAAAATAGTCATTCAGAAATACTGTCTGTCAAGATTAGGGTTTAAAAACTTTCTTTTAAGAAGTTATGGTTGAGGGCTGGGGATGTGGCTCAAGCGGTAGTGCGCTCGCCTGGCATGCGTGCAGCCCGGGTTCGATCCTCGGCACCACATACAAATAAAGATGTTGTGTCCGCCGAAAACTAAAAAAATTATTAAAAAAAAAAAAAAAAAAAAGAAGTTATGGTTGATTTTCAGTGTTGTGCTGGTAAACTGGTTCTCTTTTTTGTTGTGGTAGTGGGGACTAAAGTCAGGGGTGTTCTACAACTGAGCCACACCCCCAGCCCTCTTTATTTTAAAATTTTGAGACAGGGTCTTGCTAAGTTGCCAAGGCTGGCCTTGAACTTGTGATCCTCCTGCTTGAGCCTCCCAAATCACTGGGATTACAGCAGTGGGTCACTGCTGCCCAACTGGTAAATTTTTCTCAAGGAAAAAGGAAAAGCTCTAACATTCTGATTTTCATGATATAAATACTCCCATCACAGCTGATTTGAAACTACCAAGGTGAAGTTACTAACTTTAGAGTTGGGGAAGAGATGTATATAATAGCATACCACTAGTATAGTATAGTTAGTGTAACTTCAACCATCCAATGTTTAGTGCTAGAATAAATTATTTCACTGAAAAAATTAGTAAGGTCTAAAAATAGCCAAAAAAAAAAAAAATCTCCCAAAAACACTGGAGTAGGTTGGTAATACGTTGGGGAGGAGTAAATAAAACCTCGTGCCCATTCAAAACAATTATCATCACTGGTGATAATGCCATTATGATTTTATTTTACATCTGTAGTACAAAAATCTTTCCCGCCATGCAAATAATTTACAACATTTTCAAGATGTAGTAAGTATAAAACAAAGTCTGCACTTTTTCCTTTCAATTTCCATCTCAATAACCCTCTGGATAGGAAATTAACTTAGTAAGCCAGTCAACAAAGTAGCAGAAAAGTAATCAGTTGCTATAATATCCCACTGGCAAAGGAGACTAAGAACTGGCTAGATTTACTTTTATGAAAATAAGCTTGAATTCCTCAAGAAGTGAAAAACTGAAATGAAATTTGAATAAAACCAGAAAACCTTAGCAGGTTTTCTGGTTTTATTCAACTTTATCTGTAAGCTACTATGAAGCAGAAAAAAAGTCCCA